TGTAAGGGAAGGATAAAATCCGATTTCACTTAACAAGATGGAGATCAAACGATTTTTGAGAGTATTTGGAAATGAAAAGGTTTTATTAATTGAAAGAAAGGAAAAGGAGTCATACATATAGAGTTTGGCACACTTAGGAAATAACAAAGACAGCTAATGACTGAAAGACACAAAGACTAATGTTAAAACAAAGTTTTAATCCTGAAAAATAGGCTCCTCCTTTCCTTAGACGAATTTGGTGAATATGAGGCCTCTTATTATAGTGTTGTGAACAAGCCTTATTAAAAACCTTGTTTGGAAAACCCTAGTGGGATAAAACCAAACCAAGGGAAAAGAGCACGAGTCACGACACCTCTCTTGATGAACTCTTAAGTGGCTTGTATCACAACCAGTGTAGTTGGATTTGCACACTTAAGATTTCCCTGGATAGAGTATAGTAATTTGTGAAAAGCTTGGTTGAACTTCATCGCCTTGGCTCTTGTCATTGGTCCAAGAGGAAGATGTAAGTCTTTGTCTTCTTCTCCATTTGCTTCCTCTGGTTTCAGTTTCTCCTTTTCTCCATCTTTATATTCATTAGACTCTGGTTTAAGCTTTCCTTCGTCTCCACTATTGTCCTCAGTTCCAACGCCGGCCATGATCATATCATCCTCTCCCACTTGAAAAGGATTTGACCTCAAATTTGTGTCTTCCGCAAGAAAATGAACTAAGTCAGAAACATTGAAGCGTGAGCTCACAGAATACTTACCTTGGAGATCCAGTTGGTAAGCATTGTCATTGATCTTCTTGATGATCTTGAATGGTCCATCAATTCGTGGCATGAGCTTAGACTTTCTTTCATTGGGGAATCTGTCTTTTCTTAAGTAAATCCACACTATGTCTCCTTCATTAAAGATCATTTCTTTTTGCCCTTGTTAGCATATTTGGCATAGTACTTTATCTTGTTTTCAATGTTGATATGTGCCTTCTCATGGATCTGCTTCACAAGTTCTGCCTTTTTCTTTCCATCCAAACTAACTCTTTCACTCAAAGGTAATGGCATTAGATCCAAAAGTGAGGTGGGATTAAACCCATAAACGATCTCAAATGATGAAAACTTAGATGCAGAATGCTTAGCATGATTGTAAGCGAATTCAACATGTGGCAAACATTCTTCCCAAGTTTTTAGGTTTAATTAATGCACGAAACAAGGTAGACAAGGTTCTATTAACCACTTCAGTTTGACCATCTGTTTGCGGATGACATGTAGAAGAGAAGAGCAACTTGATTCCTAACTTACACCAAATAGTTTTTCAAAAGAAACTAAGGAACTTAGCGTCTCTATCAGAAACTATAGTTCTAGGCATGCCATGAAATCTTACAATATCTCTAAAGAACAACCTAGCAACATTCATGGCATCATCAGTTTTATTACATGGGATGAAATGAGCCATTTTAGAGAAAATGTCTACAATTACAAAAATAGAGTATTTTCCAGTCTTAGTCCTAGGCAATCCGACAACAAAATCCATAGAAACGTCATGCCATGGATTCAAAAGACTGGGAAAAAGGGTATACAAACCGTGGGATTGTTTCTTAGCTTTGGCTTATTTGCAAGTAACACATCTTTCACATGCTCTCTCGATGTCTTTCTTCATATGTGGCCAATAAAGGTGTTCTTGGACTGTGCTCAAAGTCTTGGCAACACCAAAATGACACATTAGACCATCTGCATGAGCTTCCTTGACAAAGATCTCTATAATAGAAGAGTTAGGCATACATAAACGATTTTCAAAGAACAGGAAGTCATCAACCTTATAGTATTTTCCACTGCCAAACTTTTCAGTCGAAGCATATAAATCCTTAACATCAGCATCAGTAGGGTATAGACTCTTAATGTTCTCAAAACCAAGTAATTTAGTCTCCAAAGAGTTCAAGAACATACCTGCGAGATAATGCATCAGCAACAACATTATCTTTACCTTTGTATTTTGATTAAATTAAAATTGGTGGCAAAAATCCTTTAACAAAAAATAGAAATGAATAAAATTAGTGAAGATTAGATAAAAATACATATATAAATATCACACAGCCGATATTTACTTGTATATATATTTATAGAATAGGATTTTGAGCTAATTTTGTTATGCGGTTTAATTATTAGTAGTTTTTAAATGTGAAAGTGATATGATGTTAATATATATATATATATATACTTATAAAGATACTAACATGGATTAGAATCTAATATGTATATATCCATAAAATAGAATTTTAATTGTGAATATTTTATTAGAAATCAAACTATTATTTTTAGCTAATAAATTCTATAATACGTGTTAATAATGATTATATATAGGATTATCAAAGTGGAGAAACTCTTCTATTTAATCTATTTCACAATTTACTAAAATTTTTTTTCGACCAGCCCGTAAAAGAAATGCAATTTTAAATTTTGAAAACATCTTTCAGTTTTTTTTTAATAAAAATAATTGAATTGATTTTCGAAAATGATACTAATTAATTATTAAAATACATATGAAAAATATTGCAAAAGTTTAAATAGATCTTTTCATATATATGGATTTGTTATTATTTAAAATAATAAAATATATTTTAATATTTTAATAAGTGAAAAAAATAAATATATTTTTGATTTATATCTATATATTTAAAACAAATGTGTGAGATTTAGATTTAAATATCTTTTACGGAAGAATATTTAATTAAGTTTTATATTTTTATAAATTTATTTATGTAATATCTTATAAGTAAAAGTTTATTTATATAATATTTTATAAACAAATATTTATTTATGTAAAATATTCTGTAATCCTTTACAAATAAAGATTTATAAATAATAATATAGAGATACATGTCAAAAGAGATAGCATACTATTCCAATATCATATGCACCCCAGCTGCTCATACGAATATTAATACGTGTAATCCAATCAGATATAGCCATATAGGAGACATAATATATGTTATCAAGTAAAGCAGTAGCCCCACTGATTGGATGACGAGCATTGTATGTCAACTTGTTTTAATGTTTCTATGAGCACAAATGGAGCTAACTGAAACTTTTGGAATGTGAAGAGTTACATCACATTCGACCTTAGAGATTGAGTAGCTAGAGGTATACTCAAATTAAGCACCTAAATAGTTTGCTAGAGGTGTACTTTTGAAATATTAATAATTTTTAGTAAATTTATTGGATTTTATTTATATTATTTTGATGAGACCAACTTGTAAGAACACAAAAATGTTAAGTTGATCATACAAAGAAAATGGATTAATAATTTAAAGAACGAATAGGAATTGTTTTAGAAGATGAACAATGTTGATGTGACACAATCATTATGGATCAAACATTAGTCAAAGACTCGAAGTAGTATTCAATTTGCATGCAGACCGGATTGGTCTTGTACAAAACAGAAGAAATCAAAGAGGTTTTGGTTTGGATTACTAGTCCTACAGACCAAATTTGAGCATGGAAACAATCGCAAACGTTTCTCTCGTTAATGAGAAGTCCCCATTGCTACTATACAAAGGGTATACGAAAGCGCCCAAATATTCAAATTGTCACATGCATGCAAACTCCTTAATATGGACCATGATGAATTGATAATAAACTCCTTATTACTTTTTAATAATAGCACATTTCTTCCCCATTGTATACCTATCCAAATTAAATGTTTGAATACAGTTGTGGTTACCATTTGATTTTTTTTGCTTATCCACTAAGACATTTTTTTTTAAGAAGTGTATCCATACATTACATTTTTGTTTTTGTCGACACATTCAATTTTATAAACAAGTAATACAATATTATTGGTTGATTAATGCGCTTTTTTTAACGTCTATTTCATTTAAAGTGAGATCGGTAGAAAACAATAAAGTCTATCAGAAAGGCTCACACAGAGCCAAGTTGGCAAGAGAGTCTGCCCTTCCATTCTCAGATCTGCTGATGAAATTGAAAGATACAGAAGAAGACATACTAACAAAAGTTTTAATATCAAAAAGGAGGCGGAAGATCTCCTTGCTTTGCTCCTGCTGGGTTATTGCTCGGATTAAGACTTGAGCATCAGATCTGACGATGAGGTGAAGGATCCCCTTTTTCAGGCCAGAGGTTAGGGCTTCTCGGATTGCTAAGGCTTCTGCAACGAGAGGGGAAGCAATAAGGGTTTCATGTGAACTTCCCTGGTCAAATTTGATTCCCTGTTGATCTGAAAATAATTATCCCAATCCTCCCGATATAGACTCCTCCCTCCAAGCCGCATCAGTATGGCAGATTATTGCCTCCGATTGGGTTTGATTGCATCAATTTGCTGGTGAGGTAACGATCTGCTTTGCTTCTTTCACTTGGGCTTGTTGCCATTCTCTTGCTTCCGTTATTGCTTTGATCATCGTGTCTTGAGGGCTGATCTTGCGATCTTCAAACATTAATCGGTTTCTGGTTGTCCAGATGGCCCAGCAGAGCCACGGGAAAATGGGTCCTAAACCCACTCCAGATGGTGGCAAACATACCACATGTTTGTAGGCTAAGAAACCCGGCGTGAAGTCCTGAAAGCTGGACGGATCTATTCAAGTTGCCAGGGGCAATAAATCCCAAGCTTTACGAGCGAAGTCGCATCCAAAGAAAAGGTGCTCAGTTGATTCCAAGCCACCGCAATGGATGCATCTAGGATCAGCATCTACACCTCTATGAAGGAGGTTTTCACCGGTTGGAAGGGCCTTTTGGAGTATTTTCCATAAGAAGACTTTCATCTTTGGGGAGAATTTCCCATTCCATATCTCCGAGTTCCAATTGAGAGGTGGGTTGATGTTAGTTTCAGTTTTTTCCCCTTCCTCCATAGCTATGTGATAACTAGTTTTTGCTTAATAGATTCCAGTTTTGTTTGGTAGCCAGATGAAGGCATCTTCTGCTCCTTTACAGCTAGGTTTGATGAGTAGAATCTCGGTTGTATAAGCTGGTAAGATCTCCTCTACCTTCTCCTTTATCCATTCTCCATTAGGTGATATCAGCTAGATACCAGCCAGTCTTTGGTGTGTTGATTAGGTGGTCCCATTGGTTTCTTAGGAGAGGTTAACGAGAGCCATGGGTCATTCCATAGAGATGTTTCTTTTCCATTCCCAATGGTCTTGCCAAGTTGCTTGAGGAGGAAATCACGCCCGATCAGAATTCCCCTCCATCCATGCGAAGTGTTAGAGGATACAGGTACCTCTAAAAAGCTTTTGTCTTGACAGTATTTCCCCAACAGGATTTTAGCTAGGAGGCACTTCGCGTTTTTGAGAATTCTCCATGATAGTTTTGCTAGTAGTGCATCGTTGAAACTCTGAATGTCTCGTAGTCCCAAGCCACCTTCTCTTTTTGACTTTGTTATTCTTTTCCAAGAAACCCAGCATATTTTGCGGATTTCTGTGTTTGAATCCCACCAAAACCTGGTTAACTGAGACTGGATGCTTTTGCAGAGACTTGCTGGGAGCTTGAAGCAGGTCATGGAATTAGTGGGGATCACCGATAGGAGTGCTTTTAGCATTGTCAGTTTTCCTGCACTTGAGACAAACCGGTTTGACTATCCAATAGATTTCTTTCTGATGCGGTCTACAATTTCAGTGAAGAGGTTATTTTGGCGCCGTCCAAAACTCTCTGGTAGACCAAGGTATTTCCTGGTGCCTCCTGATATATTCATCATTTGCATACTTAGGATTGCATTTTTGGTCCAAATATTGAGTCTCATGCATACATTTAGGTAGTTTTCAATGCTTTTGTCCTTATAGTTGGTTTAGGATAGGAAATGCATTAAGTCTTATAGAGTCTTGCATTTTGGAGTGTTTACAGGTCATTTGGAGCAAAAAGGGAGCATTTAAGACAGAAGCCGTGAAGAGACCCTCGTGTGAATGGATCAGAACCGGACAAGTGGATAGAAGCCGACAATCCCTCTACTTCATTGATAACACAGGATTTCTACCATTTTTATGGATCGTTTTAATATCTTATTCAGGTGTTTTAACTCTGTTTTCAATAGTTTTTAACTGATTTCTATGTTTTAGAGTTTTAAAAGACTTTTCAGGAAACTTGGACTAAAGATGTGCAATTTGGAACAAATAAGCAATTTTAGATAAATGCAGACCGTTAGAAGTATGGTACTCGATGGAGATCTTTTCACCGTCAGATCATTCCGAAAATTTGAGACAACATAGACGAGACAACCAGCTTTCGAATGCAATTGGTTTAGAGACAATCCAACGGTTAGATCTTCAGATATTCCCGATGAACTAAAGACAGAAAATGCAGTCTCGAAGGAGAGCATAGGCCGCGACCGCGGCCAACCATGATTCCCCGCGGTCAGGACCACCGCGACCGCGGCCAGCCAACGTTGACGTTCGAAAGTGACCTAATTTAAGCCCAAGTCCAGCCCACTACTCATTCTTCAAACCCTAGACGTTTCCAACGAATTATAAGGCTATATATACTCGTTTTAGGTCATTCTAATGACCAAGTCGTGGAGAGAGAGCAGAGAAGAGCCACATACCTCGGAGTTGCCGTATTCGGGAGAAGAAGGAGTCGCCGAAGGAGCCACCATCGATCTCCATCTTCATCCTCGTTCTTCGTTCTTTACCTTTCTCTTATTTAATTTCCAGCAAACTACAATATTTCTGTGATGTTTTTATACACTATGATTGAGTAATTCCCTTGTTGGGTTTTAAGGGATTTTTCAAAGGGATTCATGGATTGATTTCTGGTTTGTTAGATTAGGGTTTATCTTTAGAGTTCTTCGTCTAAATCTGCGTTTCGTTTATGTGGGTTTGATCGATAATCTAGCTACTGCGATTAGGTTGATTTACTCACCGAAAGTGTTGTTGAATCGATTAACCCTATTTAGATGAACAAATTCTCTTAGACGGCGTGAGTCGATCTAAAGCGTTTTGTGAAATTCTCAAACTAATTTGTCTAGAAACTTAGAGAACTGAATGGAAGTTTAGTAAATCTGAGTGAATTGATTTGTGATTAATACTACGTGAGTAAGTTAGTCTGAGTTTGATTTCAGGAACACATCTATAGAAAACTCTATGTTTAATTTCTTGTTAGCTAGTCTATGATTTCCCGGCGAATTCCCTAACACCCAAGACCTTCTCGTATCGATTTGAACTTATCGTTTACTAGTTTTTAAGTTTATTATTTTCTATTTTCGTCACTGTTCACAACCCCCAAAGAAACACCCATATTTTCATCTTAGCTTAGTTCTCATCTCAAGTAAACTCGTACTGCAGTTACTTGGTCTTCAGTGGATCGATCCCTAAGTACTACAACGTACATCTGTGCGCTTGCAGAAAACTAGGGTTAAAACCTGAGCACATCAAGTTTTTGGCGCCGTTGTCGGGGACTTCTAACGTTGCCTACGAGTTTCAGATCAGAATCGAGTCTAAGATACGTTCTCTTGTTCATTTTTGAAAAAAAAATAAAATCTATTTATTATTGTATATATAAAATATATATACATATATAGAAATTAATATAAAAAAACGGAAAAATATAAATTTATAAATATATAACTAAAAAAATATTTATTATTATATAAAATATATATATATAAATCTATATATTGACATTTAAAAAAAAACTTTTTAAAAAAAAAAATATATATATATATATACACTAAAAAAACAAAATAAAAAAAAACAAAAAAAAACAACGAACAAAAAATATAAATATATATATACATAAATTAAATAATTAATTTATTTTTTTTTAAAACGAAAAAAAATATATATATATTAATTAATTAATTAATAATAATTTTAAAAAAAACACACACACACACACACAAAAATCAGAGATGGACAATAACAATAGACATTTGCAAGGTTTAGATAGGTTTAGAGATAACAACCACATCCAGCAAAACGTTGATGAGCACGTTAGGTTCCAAAACGCTCCTCACTTAACTCTAAGATATTATAACACTCCGTATGCTTTCTATGAGAACCGTTCTCCCATTAGTCTACAACCCATCAACGTAGACTATGAGATTAGCCCGTAGCTCATAAAATTGGTCAAGCAGAACCGGTTCCATGGCGATGCATCGGAGAATCCTATGGATCATCTCGAAGATTTTGAAGAAATCTGCAGTACCAAGCAATCCATCGGAGTTCCTGCAGATTACATAAAGTGCAAGTTGTTTCCATTTTCTCTTTGTGATATGGCGCGTGCTTGGTTTAAGTCTTTGTCTCCTGATTCACTCGGATCATGGGACGAATGCAAGGCTGCCTTCCTTAACCATTTCTACACCACCTCTAGATCAAACTTCTTTAGAGACAAGATATATAGATTTGAACAAAAAGGAGGCGAATATTTTCATGAAGCTTGGGATCGCTATAAAGGCTACATTAGGGAATGTCCTCATCACGGTTTTACAGAGACATGCATCTTGAATACCTTCTACGAATGTCTTGAATGGACTTCTAAGGCGCCTCTAAATGTAGCAAGCGATGGAAACTTCATGACAAGGACTGTGGAAGAAGCTTACATCTTGATTAATAATCTTGCTGCAAGCAGCAGAAACAATTGTCCTGATCAAGGAAGAACATCACGTTCTACTTCCCATGATCATAAAGAGATTGAAGAACTTAAAGCCATGGTGAAATTGTTTCTCCAAAATCAGCAGCGTTCTGTTAATGTCTGCGAAGCAGTTAATGCAGCTGAGATTAATCATCAACTTGGAGCACAAGATCACAACAATATGAATCTCCAATCTGCTCCAAAATCACCCCCAACCTCTCAAGACGACAAGCTCGAGCTTATGGTGCAACCACTTCTTATGAAGCTGCAAAGATTAGCAGACGATGTGGATATAAGAGTGGACTGCTTATACACTGACCTTAATGGTAAATTTGAAACTCTTTCCACTCATGTTGATAGCATGGACATGCAGCTATCACAAACCATAGATAGTTCAAAAAACACTGAAGTTATCGACAGACGAATCGCTGAGGTACATGAAAAAAATCAGACACGCGCAACCTCGAGCTTAAGATAGACAACATGAATGATCTTGGGTACAAGTTAGACATCATGAATGATCAACTCAACAAGAACAATGAGGAGTCATTTCAGAAGTTCACTAACCTCTCAACTCATATCAAGATGCTCGAGAAACAAATTGGAGAAAGTGTGAAGAGATAAGATGGTTATCTTCCGGGAAAAACCGTAGACAATCCAATGTGGCGTTGGAATGTCATAGACACTGATGGTGAAAGAGAAGTTACACGTATTCCTAGCAATCAAGACACTGAAGTTGAATCTCCAGCATGTCCTGAAGAGTATGATGCAATAGGCAAAGTTCCACACCAAAGGAAGCTTCATAAGATAAATGATTCGGTGAAGTTTTTTTTCCCCTGCATAATTGAAGGTATGAAATTTTCTGACTCTCTATGTGACAGGAGCGAATGTGAATGTGATGTCTAAAGCAATTGAAAACGAGCTGGGGATGTGTGATATCAAATCTCCTCACGGTTCTGTTAAATTTGGAGACAATTCAAGCACGATTCTATATGGTTTCGTAACAGATTTGATGGTGCAAATAGGAGGGTGTCTTGTTCCTGTTGATTTCCACATTCTTGAGATTGGAAATGACTCTCCCAGGACATTGATATTTGGAAGTTCATTCCTTGCAACAGTGGGGGCAGTTGTTGATTATCCCAACCGAAGAGTTTGTTTTTCTAAAGTCAAAAAGAGAATCTTCTACCCTGCAGTCTGTAGTGGTGGAAGCTCTTACTTTATAACCATCTACAAGGAAGAGAAGTTGATTTCAGACCCTGGAGATAACAAGGAAAGGTGCCAACACGTTTCTATACAAGCCCTTTCAGTCGAACCTAAGGGAGTCGTCGAATCGAGAAAATCGAAGCACAACGCGAGAAAATCTAAGCGCAAATCAAAGAAATCTAAGGGCAAAACTATCTCACTTGATGCAAGCTCGACATTGACTTCTCAAACCCCTATTGGAGACGTGGAGAAAGATGCTAATGCTAAAGTAGTCACCCCAGAGACACGTCCAACCCCATCTCCAAAAGCAAAACCTTCTGAGCTTCCTTGGTTTATGCATATCGCGAATTACCTTGCAGCAGAGGTCGAACCGCCACGATTCCTCGGCTACAACAAAAAGAAGTTCTTGCCTGATATAAGAAGGTACTTTTGGGATGAACCATATCTTTATAAGCAGTGTGCAGATAACTTGTTTCGCAGGTGCATCTCTGAAGAAGAAGTTCCAGAAATCTTTTTTCATTGTCACAGATCTAACTATGCTGGACACTTTGCTACTGATAAGACTGTAGCGAAGGTTTTACAAGCTGGTTATTGGTGGCCTACCATGTTCAAGGACGCCCATAAATTCGTATATAAGTGTGATGCTTGCCAAAGACAAGGAAACATTGGCAAACGAAATGAGATGCCACAAAACTTCATTCAAGAAGTCGAAGTTTTTGATGTTTGGGGAATTGACTTTATGGATCCTTTTCCTTCGTCTTTTGGAGAGAAGTA